GTATTAACACTTGTCAGCTCTCGTGCGTGTGAAAATGTTACTTTTCTTTAGCGGCTATTAATCCATGTAGTGTAACTAATTTCTTCAAATACACTGCTACTTTTCTTGTGTGCACCTTCCATGCAGTGTCAATGATTTATTCAAGGCAACAGACATTTTTAGTTAGATGAAATTTTCAACAGTAACTTCATTTCTACTAATTCATTTTGTTCACCTCTTTTGTATAGCATGGAAGTAAAAAATCGCTTGGAGCTGGTCCAGGAGAATGGCCTACATATGTTTAACCTGAAGCATTAAAAACGGTCAGTAGAGAATTTATACCCGGGGATGAAGTAGATAGGCCAGACTCCACGCATAAGAGGGTAAGTTTAGTGTTTCTGTACTTGTTAATCCAGGATTGATTTTCTCTTTTTTAAAAAACTATCAAACATTGTCTGTTTTGTAGGGTTCTAAACAAAACAGTCACTTTCAATATCAATGGTAGTTATCATTATCATGTGGTTCTGTTTTTTTTCACAAGTTGCATTTATAACTGCAATGATCTTTTGGAGAGGAAAAGAAGAATATTTGGGTTGATCAACTAATTTAGGCACTAAATAGGTACCATTCGCATATCCATTTTTTTTTAAGATCAAACAATATCTTTTAAATGCTACAAACATCTGGAATTTTACTTTCTACAGTAGGTATTGGTTGATAAACCCACTTCTTATTTATAATGTATGTCTTCCAGGTATACAAGGTGACAATGGCAGACCTTACTGCTGCAACATGGCCTTTTAAAAAAAGAATTTGATTTTTTTATCCCAGATAAGCAGAAGACATAGATATATTGGAACCGTTTTTTAAGATGTAATAAAGAGACACGTTGGTCGGTTTCTATGAGAAATAGTCCCGTTGCTAACCCTAGGGGTCACGTGACGACGCGATGCCTGCTTTGAGACAGCGACTGCGTTGATGCCAAGGGCTCATTTTGTTCGCTTTTTAAAGGCTAAATAAAAGCTTTAGGAAGCATATTTTTGCATTAAATACTAAACCTGACCATTCTTTTTCGATCCTGCTGGGAAAATCAAAGCTTTTTTGTCAAGTTTCCACGGAACGGCTCGCTGAAAAGTGGTGCTCTACGAGCAAACATTCGGTTTATGAGGTCCAGCGGTCAATCGGACCGAGCAAATTTTGGCATTTCTGGAGACCTTGCACTATAGGAACAATTTTTTACTGAGGGAGTCGTACTGTATAGAAGAAAACAGTAGAATAATTGACGAAAATAGCGGTTTTCCCACCCTACAAGGTAGGATTTTGACCATTTGGCAGCCTAGATCACCCCGAATGGCACAAAACACTAAGTTGAAAATGAACTTTGACTCTTATGGCGTCTTTTTCATCTGAAGAATCAGACAAATCAAGGTAAGAAAACGCACTGTAAACACGATTTTTTACCACGGTCCTTTCTGGTCGCCATCTTGAATTCCTGAGACTGAATATCGAGTGTTCTGTTTACCTGTAGCCCTGAAGGAGCCCCAATATCTTGCAGAAAGAGCCGAAAATGTAGTAAAAAGAAAGGTCATCAAGGTAAATGTGACTCCAGAGGCCGTGAAGTGAATGCATTCTGGAAGAGATCTCCTTTGTATGCCTAGGCAAATCCTTGAAGAAAGCTTCACTGCCCTGCAAGTTAAAGAGGAGGCTTTGTCCAAGAAAGAGGAAGATGTTTCAGCCTTACAGAGGCAAACAGAAGCTCTTCTTAACACTTTACCCCCCAAGGGACTAATGAGATGCATGACTCCTCTTCCCCAAGGGCCAATGGCCAAAATGAGAGTGATTTGAGGTGGCTTCACAAAAAGCTCTCTAGGGAGAAAACTAAGCATTGCACAACAACACAGTAGAAAGAAACTTTGTTGGGAATTGAATAAACTTTTTATTTATGTAATCTTATGTTAAAAATTCACGTTACAAACTGAATAAATGCAAGTCAAAATTATGCAAACTGTCTCGTGTCATTCTTTAGGCAATGTTCAGTTCTTCTCAACAATAACAGCACTATATTTACAATGATAAAAGGCCAAAGTCATGGAAAAAATCACAAAAGATACATGTTTGGAATACCTTTTCTTCACAAAGTTTATGGAAGCAATGTTTTGTGCACAGAAAGCACAGCTATCTGGCAAAACTTCTTCACAGTAACACTGAGGTGATTTCAAAATTCGCACCATTACAGATCTGTCTGGGTGTGGTTTGGGAAGCACTCCAAACAAATTCGTTTGTCGCAAGACGTGCACGCCAATCTACAAAACTTAACGATTTTTCGTTTCAAGCATCTCTTACAACGTCCCTTGCTTGCTGCCTTAGGCCAGTGGCCATCTGTGTTTCTCCCATCAGAAACAGAGAGCGAGCGGGAAGAAAAGTCGCCAATAAGCATCTTTGCTAGTTCTAGTCTGAAGTACATTTGCGAATGGGACAAGTGATTGAGCGCTTCTTTCTCCAAGATGTGAGCATTAACAATACTCACATCTATTAAAAACCAAAGTAGATATCGCCACCATTTGCGTGATTTGCGTCCCACAGAATAATACTTCCGATGTTGGTCGTTCAAATCCACGCCACCCATGTTGCTGTTGTAGCTGACTGCAGCAGGAACAGTCGGGACTTCGATAATAGAACCATCTCGCTGCTTTTTGTTTACGTGATCGTCGCCCACAGGATTCGACTGCGTGCTAAGAAAGGATACCAGTTTGGTATCCTTCCAAACTGAGGCCACCAGATTTCCACGACGGCGGAACCTTGACTCTCCTTTCCTGAGTGCTTTTACTTCGGCGTTCTTCGGCAACAAAGATGCAGGCAAGCCGTGACGATTTGATCGAATCGTGCCACACAGATAAGATTGCTCTCTCAGTAGATCACAAGCTAGAGGAATCGATGTGAAAAAATTATCACAAAACACATGGTGGTATTTGTGTAAAAATGGCTCCGTAAGTTCGCGAACAACACGATAGCCGAGGCCGTGTTCTGTCACACCGCCATCTTGTTTTCCGGTGTAAACTTGAAGATTACACACGTAGCCGTTTGAAGAGTCGGCACACTCCCAAATTTTAATGCCAGGCTTAACTGGTTTCATGGGAAGATATTGTTTCATCGAAAGGTGCCCCTTGAAACCAACCATTGCCTCATCTACAGATAAATTCTGTTTGGGATGATACTCTTCACGTAAGTTCTTCACGACCGCATCTAAGAAAGGATGCACTTTGAAGAGCTTGTCATGATTTGGCTGGCCGCGTGGAACAAAATTTTCATTGTTGTTCAAGTGTAGATACTGATTCAGTTTATCGAATCTGTTTCTTGCCATGACACGCTTTACAAATGGGACACCGAGAGCTGGATCATCGGACCAGTACAAACTTGTTTCAGGCAAGACATGTATCCCAAAGAAGATTTGCAAACCGAAGAACGCTTGCATTTCTGCCATGTTCGTTTCATACCACTTCGGGTCTGGTTTTCTTGCAATACATTGTCTCGCATAGCGGTTAGTTTCTTCGACGATATTCGCAAACAATTCTTCTGACACAAAAAGGCAGAAGAAGTCTTTTGCCGTGCCATCTTCTGGAACTGTACTTGTTGCTCCAATGGCGGAGGTGAATGCGGTGACATTCACTGGAGAATCATCACGACTCGAACCTACTTCAGCGCCATCATCTTCATCTTCCGAAAAAGATAAATCGGAAAGATCTTCAGTGTTGACTGTTGAAACAGAAATATCGCTTCCCGAATCACTAGCGTAGTTATCTTGCTCATTTTCGACCTCTGAATCTTCAATGTCCGACTCGATTCGAGCCGCCATTGTAAATTTTCAACATAAAATTTCTCACAAATCTTGTATGGAACGAGACCAACGCGATCATTGCAAACATCGTTCTTAGCCTCTTTCTGATTGGTCAAAACCCCTTAGTAACGAATGGCTGACTATAAGAAAGGATTCTATTGGTCTAAACATAGCAACCAAAAGAGTGCCAATTGGCACTCTTGGGATCTCCGTGCAAAAACTACCGAGTGCCAATTGGCACTCTTGGGGGGTAAAGGGTTAAGGACGCAGGTAAATAAAGCTTAGATGCTACCTGAAATAAGGTGACAATAATGTAATATCTGCAGTGAAATAAGTCAATAGCATGCGTGACATATATCACTGTAGGTTGATTAAGTCGGGGAGATTTGTCATGATTGAGATACTCCTTGTTGCTGTAAAGGCTCTGATCTAGGCTTTTGCTTTCTAGAAAATGCAGTACAACAGTCAAAACAGGAGAAGGAAAAACTTGACAAGGAAATTAGTGAAGTGGAGGGAAGACTCAAGGAACTCACAGAGGCTTATGAGAAAGTCAGGAAGCTTTTGGAACAAAAGGGTTATTCCAGAAGACGAAGGGGCTTTGCAAGCACTTCATTTGAAATGATTAATGATTATAAGTCCAGCACTAGATTTGGAAGAAGGGAGGAGTCAAAAAACATACTAGAATTTATTCATGGGGGTACTGAACCATCGTTGTATGGAGCGTGGGATTTTTTATCTCCCAATGCAAGTAATGAAATTATGAGCAAATTAATCAGTACTTACAAAAGGGGTAAATTTCTTCATTGTATTTTTGGGAAAGCTGGTAGTGATTATCACAAATCAGAGGATGCAATTAAACAATCATTAGCACTGAAATACCAGAGTTTTTTATCCAGAAGAAAGTATAATCTTGTATGTAAAACACAAAATTCATTTTTTAGTGCAGATAAAGAGGTCTGGCTGCCACGTAACATAAAATGTCTTGGGGTTGACCTGAGGTTACCGAAACTAAGTGTATCTGATGAAAGTGTTGACAGGTTTGTTAAAAGTTTGGACATTGGTCACGTGACACAGTTACCAGGAGTATTGGGGGTTTCTTGCACGGTGACAGGCTTGGTTTTTATGATTATTGATTTGCACTTACGAGTTCCTCATCTTTCACCAAAACTAGTGTGGTTCAGTGAAAATGAAAATCATTTTATTTTTCAGTTCTCTGATGATGGAGTTAACAAGCGAGTTAACAATGTCTATTGGAAGTATGGTGTGCTGGAACTTTGGAGATCAGGTGCGGAGCAGGGACTTTCAGTACCTTCTCCACTGTGTTAGTGTTCAGGAAAAAGATCAGCTTATGCATGACCTCTGGGAGCAACACACTGAGGAGATGAAGATTTTAGAAGGTAACATTTTAACTGTATGCAATAAGGATTGTACTGTAGAATTTCAGCCAGGTGCAGACATGTCATGGCAGAGCTGGGCTGCCAATGAACTCAACCAAACAGCTACATATCCTTCCCCTTATGCCAATGTGCATAAAGGTAACATGTGCACCATGGGTGGAACTATTGGTTTCAGTGACAGTGACACCTGGAAGCCCTTCACTTTAGAGAAAAGAAAGTCACATGTTGAAAAGGTAAGAAATTTTATGTCTTCTCTTCCTTCTAGTTTGACAGAAAAAAACAGGCATGCTAGAAAGCTACAGTTCATGGCTGAGAATGGCATCCGACAGCTAGGATGGATTGGGCAGTTTGCTGACCGGTTGAGGCCAGAACCAATGCATTGTGAGATCAATGCTGGGCAGCACTATATTGATCTTCTTTACTTGGAAGCAGTGATGCGAAAGAAATTTGACCCTTTTGTTTCTGTTTTGGCAGCACCCTTGGGTAGAGGAGATGAAGATGACATTGATGAAGTACAACCGCAAAAGTCACTTGTGAAGATTTCTAGCCTTGAGAGTGTTGGTGAGCGTGCTAGACAGCAAGACCTTTTACAACAATCTGAGGAGAAACTGAGACAACACCTTGAAAAGGCAGGTAATGGTAGTGTGAGGAAAGCTTCAGGTAAGAGGGGATGTGGGCTTGGGTATCTTGCCTCAATAGTTAGGGAACACTACAGCGATGAATCTAACAGACATAACAAGTTGCCAGTGAGACTGATAGGCAATCAAGCAATTGCCTTGGCAAGATATTCCTACCGTCTTGTTGACACTTTAAAATGTGAAAATGAAACAGAGGCACAGAAAGCCAAACGGCTGGCTCTTGGAAAAATAGGTGAGTATTTGAGAAATGCTGGGGGACTTTTTAACAGAATTGAGACTAATTCTGCTCAAGTTGCAAGACTGAAGGAAGTGTGCGAAATGTATTTCAATCTCATCTCTTTGTTTTTTCCTTCCAGTGTGAATGTCACAACATGGACTGTGGGATATGCTATTCCCTGTCATGCAAACTTGTTGTTTAAATTGTATAAGGTTGGTTATGGCATTGTCTCATTGCAGGCTAAAGAGGCCAAACATTCTGGTGTGAAGGATGATTTGACTTTAACTAACAGGTCAACTGCAATAACTCCCATTGGTAAGTGGTGGCAAGTTATGAGAAGTAACTATGTTCGCTCCTTTTATCTGCCAGAACATCAGCCCATGCCCTCCTCTTATACTTCACACTACCAGTCTCGCTCCCCACCCCATTGTAACCATTCAAAGTTTTGTAAATGTGGTAGAGATAAAGACAGACATGAGCTCACTTGTGACGTCTGTCTGTCTAGCATTGAGGTTGTGACCTCTGCAAACAAGAGAGAACTGACACACTCATTGTTGTTCACTTTTAAACCAGTGGTTTGCAAACAGTGCAACACCCGTTTCGCTGATAACGTATTATTGTCGTCTCATTTAAAGTTCTGCAATTTTTCTGGGTTAACAAGTTCAAAAATAAAACCAGGTACAATGACAGTACCTGCCTTGAAAGAAGCCTTGCGCTTAAGATTATTGAGTGTGGCAGGTAATAAGGAGGTTCTTGTAAAACGTCTTGAAGGTGCTCTAGCTGGGGAAGGTTAGTATCATATTTTTTAGAATAATAAACCCTGTAAAAAGACTGCTATTTCTGACCTTTCTTTCCCATGTATTTTTTCTTGCTTAAATTGCTGTATTATATGATATGCAAGGTAAACTTTGAGGGAAGAAATCATAACTTGCCCTTTCATCAATTGGAAGATTTTTCCCAATTTTTCTTAATTGGGGCTGAAAGGGGTGCTTTGTTAGATTTTGGGGTGTAAAGGGTTCTGTGTGAACTTATGATACTTAAGTTCGGGGAGCTTGGTTTTAATGATCACTAATGTAAAATAATATTGGTGCAGCAGCGTTGACCTGCAGCTCATTTACCTCACAGGAGAAACACTTGATACACCGTGTCTGTTTTCTTGAACAACTAACATTCTACTGTGTGACCTGCTTGAAAAAAGGTCATAGTATTTCTACAAGAAAGTGATGTGCTTTTATGTAATTTATCAGTAGTATGCACTTAGGAAAAAGTGGTTATATTTTACAGATTATTTTATTGGAGAAAGTTGACAAAGCAGCAATTTGATCATTATAAAGAAACTTTAATAGTAATTAAAATTATACAGATGTGCAATTTTGTAAAGTATATCATAAGCCAAAAAAAACATATCAAATTGCCTAACAAAGTGGGTTACAATAATGCAACTGAAAAAGATGAAATAAAAATTATTGTTCTTCCTTAAGACCTCAAGTATATTATCCAGTAATGGATTGTCTGATAGATAATATATGACAATTTTTGTTAAACAGATTTCTCTATGATTTCGGGAGTTTTAAGTGAGAGTTTTTATTGTGAAGCAGTGAAACTCAACGATCTTCATAATATTTTTAGCTACATAACACTGTAAGACTGTCTCTGTAGGCTACTAATAGTGGCTTTACCTTGTAGTAATAATGCATTTATTGTATTCTATTTTCTATTTTCGACTAGATATTTAAGTTATTTAGTAATCAAAATCCTTTTATATCTGAAAGAAATAAATGATTGAGATAACCTCAATGTTGTTGTTGTTGACTTCAAGTGTTCAAGGTCAAAGTGATGCTCAAACAGATCAGTCTAATCAGTCCTGTTGTTGCTCGGTCAAGTTCATGAGTTTCTGTAAATTAGAATCCTTCCCAAAACCATTTCGGTCATAGCGCTGAACGTAAAAAGTTGTGGTGATCCTCTGATGTTTCATGGAGATCTTTATTTCAATTGGAGTTGCTTGCGTGACAACAACGATTGATTTGCCACTGAAGGTTTGAATTATTCGACCCTTCTCAGGAATTTTTTCATAGTGTCGCTTCTTTAAAAAATTCTCCCCTGAAAATCTTGGTGGCAACCAAATTTTCTCTGCCGTGTCGGGTCGTGTGATTGTCAACGTTATTTTCTCTCCTTTCTTTGAGGATTCAATGTTTCCGCCATAACCTTGTACCAGGACCCACAGATGTTTGAAGATTTGGAAGGGCATAAATAAGACGACGGGTGCCATGAGACCAGTCATTCTTGATCTGCCGAGCTTGGCATGAATTGAAAGCCCGATTTCTTGTATAAACCCATCCAACATGGGGCCAATAAGCTCAAGCTTGTTCCCCGTGAGCTCTTCCAGGATGGGGTCGAGCTCCCTCATCCCGTAGTTCGGCTTGCTCTCGGGGAAACGAACCCTCTTCATCCAGTCATGTTTAACGGAAAATTTCATCTCCACCACATTTCTGTTCCAAAAGCGGTCCCCTCTTTCTGTATTACTTTCCACCCCGAGAGGCCTCAAATTTAACTTTCTTGGGCTATCGATAACTTTCCACTTGCCGCCATTTTGAGAATGTTTTTCAATTTTTGCTTTTGGCGCCAACTGCCGCTGACAATTTCTGCGCCAGTAAGCAACTAAAGTTGCGGGAGGAAAACCCATAGCAACCGACCATCGTGAGACCAAATGTAAAGATTTGTTTGTCTTTTGTTTATGTTTTCGGGGAGTTGAATATAACTGTTTGAAAATTGCCCTATGGCAATTTACTTTATATGCTCATTTCAAAAGCACGTACTAAAATAATTAATAATGTAATCTCTCACTGTCTTTTACTACACACAAACAGACAATGATAAAAAGTGTATTGCCAAATAAGGTTTACATGAAGTCCCACAACAAGAATCAAAAAATCTCAAAAATAGTCTTGTTGTGGAAGTGTTCAAAATTACTTCAAATTTTCAACACACCCACAACAAGACTTTTGGAAATGAAGCATGTGCTTACATTGTAAGTGTGTGTGGAAATGTTTTGCCTAATAATAGAAAGGATTTCATTACAGCTAGATCATTTGTTACTTCTTTTGTTTAGAGGACAGGCAGAGTGTGTGGTGCGTTGATGTTGATTGAAGCCACAGGTTTTGCCACTGATCAAGGTTACCTCATTGTTAGTTTCTGCTGAACCACCAAGGGCCTCCCTGGCTGCAGAAACCACGCTGGAGTTTTCATCTTCCTCTTGCACTCTTGTTTCCTCTCGTATGTGTGCTCTACTGCTTGCTGTTTTACCCATTTGTTTCTTGCTTCCTAATTCTTGCAAATTCTTGTCTGCTTTTTCTGTGCTGTCCTCCCTCTTTCTATTTCCTTCATGCGGTCTTCAATTTCCTTTTGAAGTGCTTGGACAATTGGTGGAATGACAGGCAGTTTCAGTCTCTCATATCAGTGAATTATCCAGTGATAACTGTTGCCACGGACTTTTAAACACCAAGACATATTCCCTTGGCAAAAACCACAGTTTGTAGATGTCACAGTGCAGCCTAAAGAAAAGTATTGGGATAATTGATACAAGGACTTGCTTGAAAACAAAGTACTGAGCTTTTTGTACACACAACATCAAGCACTTTAAAACATTATTTGATTCAACTGAACAGAGAAGTCTCATTCAGCTGGTAAGAATACTGACACAAAAACCGCGACCTACATTAAATCTATATAGAGAAAAAGGAAAACCAGGAACCATTATTATTGTGAAATAAGTGAAGTCTTTCTCCAATAACCAGACAGTAATAAATGACTAATCAAAACCAATCCAAGCCAACTTACTCCAACTAAAATTATTGGTGACTCTTAGTCCAGTGTCAAATTCTCTCACACTTTACAACAAAATACACATGTATACATCAGATTGCAAGGAGAATTCACAGTTAATGAGAAGTCACTGGGATTTAATGCTAGGAAATACAGCAATTTTCATTTTACAAATTCTTAGAAAAAATCTATGTGCATCTTACCTGCAAAGGTTCTGATCTTTAGCTCTAAAGTCAGGCAGTACAGTGAAGTGGGCTTCACAAAAGTTTGAGTGTCCCCTGCCCATGGTAGGGTGAATAACACTCTTTGCATCTGCTGCTCTGTGCTCACATTCCAGACGGTAAGCCATGCGGTGTTACTCACAAGTAAGTTTTACTTTGGTTTTATATGGCTGCCCTTCACATTCAATGTCTTCATCCTCTTCACAGTTTTTGCACGAACAGACCGTATTGTCATGAAAGCTACAAGTATCTCCATTCCCCCACTCATGCATATCACGGCAGTGATATTCTCCTAATGCTCTCAGCCGTCATGCATACTCCTCTGGAGTATCGCATTGCTGTAGACAACAGAAATGATTAATACGAGCAGTTGTAAGAAAACTGTCACCCACAACCAGCTTTATGTCTCTCACATTTGTGACCCTCCACAGGATTTCCAGCATAATGGTGATGACACGGGCACGCTATTTTAGCACGGTAGACAAAAGAAATTTTCGTTAACACAGTAGCAGCGTGTCACGATGCATGCCTAATTAAAATTTTCTTTTGTTCCATATAAACAATAAACCGTGTTCAGGTTAAACAAAGAAGCGTGTTAAAGGATGCGAAAACAAAAGCCGTGTCATGCCGTGTCATATTGCACTCTGGTGTGCGAAATATCACGTTTGGGCCGTGTTAAATAATCTTAAGACCCAGATCAGATCAGACATCTGTAAGACATTGCACGCGCGAAAATTATTCTATCTTCAATGAAGCAAAATCACGACACGCATTCGTAACTTATTTTTGTCATTGAATCAGTGGTTCATGTTGTAAATTTCACCTGTTATCTTCTAAATGAATCACAAATTGTCCCATGAAACCCGTTTTGTTTGCCACATTCTTATCTCAAAAGACGGAAATTTCGAGAAATAAATAACAAGATCGATTTCATAATCGAAAATATTGTACTGACTGACGGCTGAAATTAGGCCATAGCTGGGACAACATTATAATTTCCAGCTCTGCAGTTAGGTCCTTTACACGGCACGAATGACAACAACATTTTCAGCTTTTGTTATCCGAAATAAATTCCTTTTGCTGAAATTAGGCCATAGCCGGGACAACATAATAAGAATAGTTTCTAGCTCTGTAGTTAGGCCTTTTCACCGCACGAATGACAACAATATTTCCATTTTTTGTTATCCAAAATAACGTCCTTTTTATTTAATTTTTCGGAGGTAGGAAAAGGTTTAAATCACGTTCGAAAGACAGGCTTCGAAATCGGCTTCACAAGACCGTGTTGTTAGGGTCTGCCGTGTTCTGAGGCACTGTTACCTCTTCGCTAATAAAAACTTTCAAACATCTCTTTTCTGAAAGGAACTCTCGACCAAAGAAAATTGTTTGTTCCTCTCATTTTGATGCTTCAAATTAGTGAGCATTGCTTCTGCTTCCATCCTGCTTCAATCATTCCGTTGCGGGCTGAATGTTAAGATCCCACGGGAAAGGAATCAAATTTCAACTGCTAACCAAATCGCTCCTGACTACGTCAGCAAAATACAGTTGACTCCCGATAACTCGAACCCGTGCTAACTCAAACCAAAGTCGATTTCCCCTGGATTTCCTTCTTACATTTACTGTAAGTTTACCCTCGGTAACTCGAATCTCCCGCTAACTCGAAGTAATTTTTGTTTCCCTTCAGCTCATTTCTAGACAATTCTACCCTCGATAACTCGAATCATGTCATAAGTGCGTGACAAGTCGGGAAAAAAACCGTGTACTGAAGAGAGAAACCGGTTCGGGGTCGAAAAGCTCTGCGTTCATTTCAACGAAAGCCCTTTTCTCTTTACTAAGGTTATCTTCGTTATCTAAAAATTGAGAAAATGCAATCGTTATAAAGCCTTAAAGGGCAACAACAATTACATGTATAACAAAAACTTAAAATGCAGCGAAACATCCGTTAGATGCGTTATCAATGATCGGGAAAAAGATCGGAAAAGGCGACGTTACTTACCACCTGTCGCAATAACCATAGCTTCCAGCAGCTTGCCTCCACTTTTAACCGTAACCACGTCTCTCGCATTTGGTGCAGTCTCCGAAAACAGCTTCCCTGTCTCTTTCGATCGCATTTTTTTTGTTTCAATAACGCATGTACTTTTGTCAACAGCAAAATACACAAGACACAGTTTTGGAACTTTGGTAAGGTTGCGTAAAGCCATTATGAACGTGTAGTAACAACCTGGCACAAGCCTGTAACCACAGTGAAACTTTTTTTGCTCGTGTCAGGCTTTTATGCCTGAGCAGTAAGTGATTTATATTCTGTCGGTAAGCCAAACAAGATTACTTTTCCGGTCTATTGTTTTGTTTTAGCTACCCCCAACAATAGGTGCGATAACTGTGAGGTGCAACTGTGATAAACAATAGCATTTGAAGAAGGCAAAATTAACAACTCTTTTGGCGGCGGAAGGAAAACTGCCGTGGCTATGTCCACGCGAGTCCATTAATGCGTTTAAGGATAACTATACGAAAACAGCACTTAACATTTTATAAACCTATCCAGTCTCATAATTAAGTGTTCACGAAAACATCCGTTTATGATCGTTCACGTGTAGACGGCAAGCTGAAAACGCTAAGTTTGCAAGCGTTTTATAAACTCACATCGACTTGTTGCAAGATTTTTTTTTTTTTCATCTTGTGGAAAGTAGAAGTACCTAACTAAATCAACGCTGATTCAGGAATCAAGAGCTCAAAAGGAATTACCTTATTTTGATGTATTATTCTTTAATTACAGTTGATTAAAACTTCTTGAAAAACAACCAAAAATGAGGGCGGAGATCTAAAGCTCTTATGTTTTGTATCATTACGCGTCCTTTGTATGGTTCATTGTTCAAAGCCTAAGTGTCGGTTTATACGTCCACAAGTAACAAGGATTAAATAAAAACTTGAAAGAGTAAACACTTAACACTTTTTAAAACTGGATTTTTTTTAGAAGCGTGTCCTGAAGAGATATAAAAATTTTCTGAAGTACTAGTCTTCCAGGTATTTCTAGATTGACACCACCGTGCTAAAATTTACTGGCTTGACCGCAGTGTAGAACGACAGTGTAGCAAGAGCCTCAAGGGGTTTTCAGAAGGCAAATCTAATTAATTCAGCTGAATTAAATAGATGCTACCGAAAACAAACCAAAAAATAAGAATAAAAAATGATTTAGCCACCTAGAAAAACGTATTCTAACAGGAATCCCAACTCTCCTGATTCTTTCAAACGTTGCGCTACTGCCGTCTGCAAAAGTCAAATTTAATTCGTTTAATTGAGTATTTTTAAGACTAAGGGTGATTACATGAGACTTGGACGAACTCAGACCGGTATGAGTTCGTATTGGTCTCCATACATTTTTTTCATGCGTTTACATGGGACCGGCCTAAAAATGAACTCAGACCGGCCTGACTTCGTGTCAGTCGTTGACCCGACACGAGTTACTTTCGTACCGGTCGGAGACTACCGTTCTCATGTAAAACGGAAATGAATATCAGACCGGGTACATAAATAGCATATTTCTTCGTATGGCTCGATCATTTTTAGGTTAGGACAGGTAGTGAATGATATGTTCAGTCAATAATCGACTTGTGTAAGTTAATTATAGCTCCAAAAAGCTCCCGTTTTTGAGTTTGTACCGGTCTCATGTAATCGACCAAGCATTTCGTCTCGGACTCATGAAAAGGGCTGCAAAAATTACAAATTCGAACCGGTTTGAGTTCGTCCCGGTCTCATGTCATTACCCCCTAAATCCTAGGAAGAGGTTGTTAATTTGTATATTTCATCGAGCGCAGGCTTGTAATATTAAACCTCACGTGTCGTAAATAACAATCAGCAATACCGACGTAAGTTTCATACTAAGGGAAACGGGGTAGAGAGCACTACAAAATTAAAATCTTGTTACTTTGTTAAAATTTAACGTTTGTAGTCTAAGAAAAGTGCTGCCTTGTTTTAAAATGTGGCTTCGGGCTCGAGAAACAATAGTCACACTCTTGTATAAAGTTTACAAACCCTTACATTTTGTTTAATTACTTGCACAGAAGTCTTCAACTACATACATTACTGTAAAAAATCGAATAAGTAGTCACTGCATCTTTTTAAGATAATTTTACAATATTCTCAATTAGCTATCAGTCACTTGCAATAAAGTTAACAAGTTCTTAAACAGGTGGAGCAACCAAATTTTCGGTTCCGTCGCGACAAAATTCTCTAATCTCTTTATAAAGATTCCCGGCTGATGCCTCGGGGATTGATTATGTCGGGTAGCTGACCAGGTTGCGGAAGCTGATTTCTGTTTCGGAGAAGGTTAATGGCCTTTTCTTCTGAGAACCAGTATTGCTTGCAAAACACAGTTCCTGGAAACTGCTTGTCGAATCGAAAATGAAAATATGATTTAATGTTAGGTAATTTCCTATAGAATTGTCCTAGGTAAGTGGCCCAATCAAATGTAGGCACACAAACTGTTCCGTTGTGTAAGCCGAGAAACTCGGCAACGTTAACTGAAGCAGATTCTTCGACCGCTCTGGCAATGTCAAACAGAGATGAAATAAAGGTACGTCTTGTCTTTTGCTTGACCAAACCAAAACACCAGTCAGGGGCAAACTTTGTGTGTCCGGGCAATAGAAAGTCATAGTTTATACTGCTGTGCAGTCCATTGTTTACACGCCACAAATAGTACCACAAAAACGCAGAATTTGTGTTTTGGGCCCCGCAGTTATCTGCGTGGACTTGAGCGTGAGTCTCACCTAATCCATGGTGCTCGAAGAAGTAATGAACGTAGGAGATTGTGCTATTTGCTCCTTTCCCTGTCAAAACGTTTTCGTCAATAAGAAAATTGACTTGGCGAGGAATTGCTTCACAGCATACACCAAAGAGTCCACATTTTCTTGGCGTTTTAAAATAGATTGGTCCTGGCTGGTTAGGATTTGCGGGATAGTGCAGCTGCTGTGCGTAGTCGTACGAGTAATGTACTGTTCCTTTGTATGAGCAAGGTCTCTGTCCGAACGCAAAATCGGCTTTTTCAAGATGTGCTTGGACGCGCACTTTTGTTTCCTTACATGACATTTTGTAATATTCTCATTCTCCTGAGGCCAGACGGAGATGTTCTTCTTGTTTTCTGACCACATCCACTTTCTCTGCTTCGGGCAAATTGGCGCTTTTGTTAATCTGAGTATTGTTTTTTTGGCATGTCCAACATAGGTCAGTTGCAGGCCGCATAATCAAAATAAAGGGACATAGCTGATTCCACAGGTCGCAGAATTTCGAATAGCCCACTGATACTTGCCCTGTGCTCGTACAGATATCGAAATATGTCTTCCAAAGACCGTGTTTTGTGAGGTTGGACGGTAGCAGCTTCACATCAATCCTTTTGAAACCTGGAACATGTCCGGGGAGAAGGAGGGCTTGTTCCTCAGCCACATTTTTAATGAATTTATCCACTCGTTCCACTGTTTCGATAGACGACGCACTGCTGGGAAGCCTTTTCGCGTTGCCATGGGTCTGCAAGGTCAATCCATTCTTCTTGTAATGTTTTATGAGGCTGTGAAATCGGAAGTATTGAAGACAGTGCAGAAATAGAAACGTTTTCTTACAGATTCTTTTTCCATGATAAGAGAAGCTCATCCTTGTACTTTGGCGGGTTTTTTCCACTCTGCCGGAGATGCTAGTTTCGCTACAGTTCAAGGAGCTGTGAATGATGCCCAGTCTGACTAAGTCAAGTTCAGCGGATGATAGTTCACTACAGTTGTTTCTACACTCTGTGATATCATCTATGCTCAGGGTTGCACTGCATGCCATCTCTCCCACGCCCATTTTACATTTACAGGTTTCCGAGTAAAATGCTTGCACTTTGGAACGTTCCGTTTCGTATATTTCCATGATCTCAACAGCTTCATCTTGATCAGCGTCATCGCCTTCGTCGCCAGAACTGCTGTTAGAGTCAGAATAATCATCCTCGTCATCTTCTTCCTCGATCTCTCTCGTTTTGAAATACATTTCCTCGACACTTTCTAACTGAACTAAATCTTCCGTTGTGAAATTTACTCCGCAGTTAGAACGTTCCGTTGCGTTGTACTCCATGTTTACTGTGTTGTGTTTTAGCGTTACCGTGATAAAGGTCACTTTCAAGTAACTATGGTAACTATGGTAACGTACAATGCCCCATAATAAGACACGTTACTAAGACGAAACTCGCAGCAATTCGAAACACCTCGTGGTCGTATAAAAGCACGAGTTTTAGTTTTAGTCGTACTACATGAGTGATTTACCTCTCTTTCATCGTGCCAACTGTAAGCCACATGCAAGTAGTATTTAAATAAATTGTTCTACCGCTTGATATGTAGTAATTATGCGAACATTTTACGTACAGCAGGAAAGTAGAAATCTGCTTCAATGCTGTTTTGGCTTGTTATGTTAGTTCAGCACGAACCGTATAGCCCATCAAATTTTATTTTTTAAGAGCCACATTATTGCTATTGATTTTTTGTTTTGTAATCTTTAAGCATAAGGTGCGAGCGTTTGTGCTAGGAAGAACTTTTTACATCAGGCGCCTTTTTCGCGACCATTCTTTCAATGTTCAAGTAACTTCTAAAACTAAAGGCTTTCTTGCTTAACTTCTTCGGCGGCCTAACAACTCTTTTCGTGCTACTGTGCCATATTGCACAACTTTAACACGCTACGAAGCGTGTCATTTAACACGCTGCTGAAAATAAAAGATTGAGCGTGTTAAGATGTGTAAAACAAAAGCTACCGTGACACTCTTTGTTTCCTTATTAAATATGCGCATACGCGTGTCAGATGTCACGCTTAGCGTGCCGTGTCATCGCACGCGTGCTTGTGTTATCACCATTATGCTGGAAATCCTGTGGAGGGTCACATTTGGAATTTAGAGTTCTCACTGAGGGAAACTGTGCCTCATATTTCCTTTTGAAATCTGTGGAGAATTCTTTGTTTTTGGCAGCTTCTATGGACCCTACCCACGTGTCCTCCTCACCGTAAAACTTTTCCATCGTGATGATGCTGACCAACTGCCTTGGCTGCTCTTGAGTCACCATCTTGCCAGACAACTTCCACTTTGCAGCCTTCATCTGCTGCCTGCTTATAACATTCCTCTGCAAGGATTCCTTCTATAGATTTTGAGGTACTTTGCCTCGCATATACTTGTGACCAAACCACAACAATCCACCAGTCGAATAATTTTTGATATTGAATGATCCTTTTTTGCTGAAATGTCCACTTGTGTGCCACACTCCGTCTGAAGTCACCACTGCCTTTTTACAGCTGCCCAGTTGATCATTCCTTAATGCCACTGTAGAAATCAAATCTTGGCATTATTTATTCATTTTGCCTTGGGAATGGTGTCATGATGATACCGAAACATCGGCTTTTAACGTTAGTATTCGCTTGCTTATGTTTTAAGAAATCGTTTTTGATCACAACTTTATTTACCATCATTTTCAATAAAATGACCAAAGGTGCCTCTATTGACACATTATTCAAGTTTCGTTGTAATGAGATTTGCAACAAAAATACATTGTCACTGTCTTTTGTATTAATCTGATTGATTAATTCTAATTCACAGTTTTGTTAGCTCGAAGTTGGACTTTTGTAATTCTCTTCTTTTTGGTGCCCAAAAACGGGACTTAGCTAAGTTGCAGTCCGTTCAGAATGTGGCTGCTCGAATTATCGCTGGTCTCAAAAAACGAGACCACATCACCGAGACTCTAAGAGATCTTCACTGGCTTCCTGTTGAGGAGAGAATTGTTTTCAAAATAAATGTAATAACTTTTAAAACATTGAATGGCTCCGGTCCCCGATATCTTGAAGATATTTTAAAATTTTACTATCAAGCAAGGACATTATGGTCATCAAGGGATCATTTACGCCTTGAAGAACAAAATTGTAACATGAAAACTTATGGCCAGCGAGCGTTTTCCGTTGCTGCCCCCCGACTATGGAACAAGCTCCCCTTTGAAATTCGAGCTTGTTCTGATGTTAATCTTTTTAAATCTAAGGTGAAAACGTTTCTTTTTAAAAGAGTATATGACATTTAGTTTCGTCATATTTGTTTTTGTTTTTGTTTTTGTTTGTTTTTTCTTTCCTTTTTAACATGTGTACAGTAGGGTTATATGTAAGTTTGTATTTAATGATATTCTTATGTCCTTTTTTACCTTGTTAAGGGCTTAGAACAGCGATGTATAAGCGCTATATAAATTCCATTATTATTATTATTATTACTACTAATATTATTATATTACTGTCAGTAATTATATAACTGTTCAGGAAGAATGGTGAATACTTGAAATAATCATAACACTGTGTTTACCCTGCCATGCACATTGCAACTGTAATTGTTCAATATCTCAATAATTTAGCTTTCTAGAAATCAGAGTCAGATTCAAATGCACTGTCATAATCCTTGCTGTCTGGCAGTCCAATTGAGATGTCTAGGAGAGTGGAAACTTCCTCAACCTGATGCTGAACCTCATATAGGGCATTTTCTTCAACAGCGTCAGCAACTGTTTGGATGGAAACATCAGCTACCTCTTTTGGAATGTGTACAGGAAGGGGAGCTTCTGGGAAGCTTCTGTGGTAGTGAGAAGGGCATGTTGTCTGCTTGGGAGCTTCTTTCTATTTTTTCTGCTGAGCCATTTCTCAACTGCTTGTTTCAATAGGGATTCCATCTTTGGACTTCCCAATGCTGGCCCATTGATCTGACATGAAGCATTGCTTCGAGCATATCATTTTGCAGGCGACTTCTGCAGCGATTCGTTACAACTTTGAGGGCACTGGCACCTCACCTGATACCTGTTGGTATCAGTGCAAGTTAAGGCCAGCTTATGACAAATGCAGTGAACACTGATCAAGACTGGGTTCAGCTCTTTAAGCTTTGTTGTTACACCGTTCTTTTTTCCAGTCATCACTGAAGCCCCCCATCTGTCGCAAGATTTGTTAGACTTAAGCCGCACTGCTGCAACTCATCCTTGATAAGGGATGTTAGGGCATCAGCATTGGCACTTGCATATTCCTCTAGGACGTTTTGCACTGGCAGAAATGCAATCTCCATGCAAGAAGTAACAGAGCTTACAAACTGTATGAATGTAAGCATTTGGGATTGCACAGAGATGTCAGTGACTTCATCCACCATGAGCCCATAACTTTGGACCTTTTGTGCACTGCGCACTATTTCTTCCTTGATGGTTTCTGCCAAGACGAGGAAGATTTCTCGGATAGATGCTTCAGACCTGTGATTGAAGTATTTGAGTTGGTTCACAACAAGGGAATCCTCGGCAAACTTAATCAAGTTAAGAAACATTCTGTTTGCAATGTGCTCCTTTGCCAGAAAGTAAGCAACCAAAAAAGCCTTCTCCAATACGTCCTTGGCAGTTTTTTGTCATTCAACAACTTCTTTATGGAATACAGACATGCGCTGTAAAAGCTCTTGACTGACTGCTTTATGATGTCGGTCAGAATCAGAATGTACCTTAAGGGCATCGTACTTTAATCACATGTTTGCTGTTTGCGTGAAGGCTGATTCTTCTTTATTTTGCACCGTTTTTATGGCGTGCTTATTGCGTAACAGACAGAACAGACCTTCACCCCTGAAAAACAAAGCCACCAATGTTCCCTCTCTTGGCACCAAGTATGAATGTACTTCTTCTTCTGTTGCTTCAGTCTTGCTATTTCTTCTTGCCTTAGTAAGCTGTTGCACAGTTTGGAAGGACATGTGTAATAGCTGTGTACTACTTTGTTTGTACCAAAGAACTGAGCTATTAGGTCTTCGCATTCTTTAGCACTCAACAGAACTTCACATGAACTAGATGGTTGTGAGGCCATTGCTGTAGCTTGAGTGGAGGAGCTTGCTGTAGAACTACAGGGCATATGACAAGGGGTGGAAACTGGTAAATCATCAGCCACACCTGTTCTGCTTTCTTCCAGCTGGGTGGTCAAAGCACCTTAGACCAGATTGACGTGCATTATGAAATTTTTTTTTTCTTTTTTGAACTAAGGTATTTTTTAGTGATTCTTCACCCGTCATCAGAAAAACATGTTACATCTGGATCGTTTAAGTTGCCGATGTTCTAATTAAATTATCAGCGCTGTTTGCTTTGCGATATTTTTATTTCTCACGAATTTCTCGAAAAAATTTTCCAAACTTGTTATATGTGACGTGAATCTGTTTTTAAGGATGATAGAACGGTTTAAAAGCGGAATTTAATTCACAAATCAACAGATAAATGTGACATACGAGGTCACGAGACATGTCGCGCCGCAATTCCCATGAGTTAATCAAGCGGAATATTCAGTGAAGAATTACACAGCAAAGAGAAAGTAAAAAAACACAGAAACCCTTTGCTTGGTCTTTTTTAATTCAACTCTAAACATCATTCCTAATTTTCGTAAAAGATAACTCGAATTAGTTTTGTAATATTTAAATACTCACCATTTCCACTTCAAAACTAATTTATTCATTCTATTCACACAAGCACATGCACGTGCACTACGTGACAAAAAACGATGTGAAAGACTGCTTTATTATTCAACAGAAAAACACTTACCGTCCTTCTGTTGCTCCTTAGAAAAGTAGGAAGTTATCTGTGAACTTGGTGCAGCTTTTCGCCTTCGATTCTCTGCCATTTACATTTTAAAGTGTTAGAAGTATCTTGTGAGCTACATTCTGCTGTAAATTACACGATAAATCCAGATAAATTACTTTCCGATTGCCAGTCAAATGCTTGACGTGAAAGCCATTAAAGAGGACGTACCACCTGCTTCCCGTTTGTCAACCACCTCAAGATCCACAGTGACATTAAGGTAGTGCTCCATCATTGTATACACACAGTACTTAGCACTGAACCCAGGGGAATCCATCCTTCCATCACCACAAACCACAAGAACATCATTCTCAAAAACCTTCCAAACTACTTCCTTCATTTTATCCCACATGTCCCTGATGGTGGGTACAGCATATAGACTCTGAACCCTTGAGAATGTGGAAGAGGAAACAAAATTCAAATTCATGCTCTTTGCTAGCAGAGCAACCTTCTTAACGTCCAATGGACAATGTCCGTGGCTGTCAATGTGGCGCTGTCAAGTTTGGACAAAAAACTGTAAAAATAACAGTAACATAGCATAAACATATCATCATAAATTCAACATTCCAGCCTAATAAACATTTAAAAAATCTTTTTAAAATACTAAAATTTAGTTTCGGTGTTTATAAGTACTCTTTTCCAAATTGCCATGGCAATATAAACAAGTACATATCATTCTTTACCTTGTTTGATCGACTTCAATATTTTCAAAAGTTATTTCTTCTTCACTCCTATTGCCATCATCAGACTCACTGAACTGATTGCTGTTGTCCCAGCTATTTGCAGTCTCGGAGTCACTAGCATCAGAAGCACGATCACCAGATCTGAAATGACAACTCTACCATTATTACCATCTATCCATCATGTAATGTCGAATGTAGCTTCTTTGTTGTTCTTAAACTCTGGGACCACTGTAATTGGCTTGTTGGTGTTGTGGAATCTTTGCCTAATAATGAATGCTTACTTATTAAGCTTTGTTTTTTTCGCTGTGTGTCATGTAATAGGTGAAGCTGATAAAATAGAATATTGCTAATGCACTGAACAGTGCAACAGAACTTTCTGGGATAAAAAAAATTAATAGTAACAGGATGTAAAAATTCAGATCCAAGTAACGTTGTTTTGTCGGCATAAAATTCCATTCTGTGCGGTAAAATTAGGCCACTACACTGCAAAATTCCAAAACCCAAAGAGGGTCTTAGGATCACAAATATATGCAGAAAATAGTTTTGCCCATCCCTGACATTATTATAATATCTGATTGCGCGCCCCCTTTCAGGATATAGACATTGGTATGGTCAATCTTAAAAATCTATGGTGGTAGCAAGGGCGAAAGCAGATGCTATGAACTGATGTAAGAGTGGGAGTTTTTATCTCATCAAAAAAAAATTGTCTCAAGAAATGCAAAGAGAAATAGACACTTACTCCACTTCACTCATAGTCTCTGCCTCTGAGTGAGGATTTCCCTCTAGAGAGGAAAACAGGGGATTCCAATTAGAAAGTCATCCAAAAGAGTCCTGTGCCCACTCAGTTGGTCTTTCTCTAGCTCATCAACTTCAATCCTAAATACAAGAAAACATGAACGAAGCCATGAAGAAACTCATTATTGCTGTATGATATTAGTACAAGGTTTCCAAGCCTATCCTTTTTACACAACATACCGATTGTAGACTCTAGGCTAAATTAAAAGTACTCACTTGCTCAAACTTGAGTTTTCTGCAGCACCAGCAAAGGATAAAGGGGAAACTGTGATATTCTCAGTCCTGATTTCTTTACCCATGGGGGTGGACTGGAGAAATAGCTGCCTTCTTAGTACCAAAAAACACGAAAGGCCACGCAATGTATAGAAAAAAATTGCGAAATAATAAAACTGCCATAATGGCATACTAAAAAGAGAGTTTTTTAAAAAATTATTCAATATTTTACCTTGATGCACTTGAGGTCATCTCAATGAGCGTGAGGAGATCGATCACGCTCTCGTGTAAGTTGCTGGTGAAGAAGTATCTCTGCAAAATCATTATTCGTGATTCCGTGTAGCCCAAGGGCCTCGTTCCGTTCAATCCACATATTGTATGTGGATTCCCTGAGTTTTAGCACAGGGCGCCCACACAATCTGTTTGTGTTTGTGATTGTTATTTTATAGTAAATGTACTGGATTTACCGTTTGCTTCACCTATGGCGATATATCGCTAATTATGTATATAAATCAATGATAAATAAACGTTGAATTACCTTACCTGTGGTACATAGTCGTCCTTTTACCTCAAAAGCGGTTTTTTGAGCGATTTTGAAGGAGTTCAAGTTCGCCGTTGACTGTTCCATATATAAGAAGGACAAGGGAGGAATCCTTGTTTTGAAAGGGTTCCAGTGCCGGAGTGATTTTTCCCCCCATCGCATCGCTCCGCTTTCAAACTTCGCATCATAAAGGTCAAAAGATTCACGATTTTTCTCGTACCTTCCAATCGAAAATCAATCCAAACGGCCCGAGCTAGCCCTCGAAGAAAATCAAAATCCCACAGTATTCGAGCGACTGGAATGCGTAGCAAGATCCATGCGTGCCAGCCACAAACCGTCCCGCTGATTGCCCCTTTCTGATTGGATGATGTTAGACAATGACCTATTCAGGGTTGGGAACCACAGGCATTTTAGTGACCCTTCAACTGTTTACCCACCAGACTCGGGTCGTGTGTCTTGATGCTCATCGGAAGCCACTTACATTTCCGCTCATTGTTCGCATCCGCCAATGAATGAACAGGGGAACAGATTGTTTTATATTCAAATATTCCATTCCTGGCTGATCGGTTTATAGACTTTGAATGCGAAGAAAATGTTGTCCACGCTGAAAGCAAACGACGAGGGAAACATTATCAAAAAGAGGAAAATTGGAACGAATTTTGACCAGATATTGGTGTCTCTTAAAGTCTGGTAAGTTACACTTTATCCCAAAGTCAGAATTGTATTGGTGATTGAAATTGATTTATCGCTATCGGTTCATTCTAGGCTAATACAAAACTACAAGGTAGAAATTGAAGCCTTCTCGTATAGTCAGGATATCTACGACTTTATCGAAATGGAAAAGGAGAATGTTTCAGCTGATGATGTCCCGGTACGCCTTTTTACTAAGGCCATAAAAGAACTTTGGGTGAACAGCGGAGAGGTTGTAATATCTCAACGTAGAAGATCCAAAGGAGGGGTACAAGAGCGTGGATATCTAAATTTAAAGAGGAAGTTGGAATGTTCTGCAACAACAACAAACCAATGTGAATGGAACGAATTGCCAAAAATCACATTTGTGGGCTGGCAGTCAGCTGCAAACAGCGATCGCTCGCTAAGCTTCTTGCGTGTAGAACACGTACTGTATGACGACCACAGGGTGGTAACGGAAGTGATCCTGCAATATACCGAGGAAAGGTAGCTTAAAGTGTGGTTGAAGTCCCACGAACATACAATAAATCTATGCGATTTCCCAGGCTTCAAGTCTGCGTTGAAAAAAGGAAGGCTGATAGAGAAAGTAAAATTTGTTTTAAATTTTTTTGAAAAGTCTAGCTTTTGCCGAGGTTTCAAGTTCGATTTACCTGCTGACACCTCCATCTCACCAGATTTATATATCAAGCATGAAGTGCGCGATCTTCGAGAGGAACTTGAGGCATCCGAGGCGAGGGTGTTCTCATCCAATTGCCTTGTCCTGACAAATAACACACAGGGAGAGAGTTGTGTGAATTGCGTTCAAGCGAAACATCAGCTAGGGAGAATTAAAAGTAGGCGTGAGTCGTCTGGTGCACTAAATCCAAGATGCAATAACGGTATCTATCCAGAACAAATTCTAGGCAAGCTAACCAAGGAGAAAAGAAAGAGAATTAACCGTGAAAAGGTCATAGCAAGACTTAATTCAGAAATGGTGGAAATGGCGTCTGAAGATCATGCAGATCTCGTGTAGATGATGTCCAACATCCCCGCAAAAGAAGTCCCAGATGATTTGAAGATACTCTGGGAGCAACAACAGAAAATTGCATCAACTGCATCTGGTCGGGGGTACCGTTGGCATCCAAGGTAGGTATTATATGAATATGAAATAACATATAACCGGTGCTGGCTAGCACTCCTTGGGCCCACTCATCAGGCATCAGGCCTGTAGAGGGTTGTTAGTTTCTATATTATTACACAGATAGGAAGTCGTTGTTTGCACGTCCATTTTTATTGTTATGAAAATTTTAAAACAATTACAAATAATACAAATAGTCTCTTTTTCTGACGCAATTGTTTTAAATTTCCAGTAACTTGTATCTGATGTGGTAACAGATGATGAACTGCAAGCAACAGACTCTCAGTTAGTCGGTTTAGTGAAACAAAAAACCCAAAACAAATAGCTTTGAAACATAGGATAAAAAATAAAAGAGAGAGAGAAGGAGGATAAAAGCTTGTTTCAAGATATGTGAATAACCCTTTAACGTTCACTTTATACTTAAAGGTGATTGAAAGTGTGTTATCTATCAATTGTATACCGATGTCAGTGGGAGGCTCAGTTACAACCTTGACAATGTCTGGATTTCTTTTTGATGAAAGACTTGTTATAAGTACCATTCTATTTCACTTAATCTCTCATTTTTCAACAGGGTTATAAGGTTATGCGTGGAGTTATACAGCAAGAATCCACATACTCGTGATCCACTGCGAAAATTCTTATATCTACCGAGTCACCGCACCATCAGGTAATTGTTGTAGAGTTTCATCCAGTATCCAAATAAAACATTCATTGACACTACACTCTAACAGGATACCAAACCAAACTTTATAAGTTTTTGCTCATCTTACTGATGTACCTTCTTCACAGTTCCAAAGAAATAATTCATTGTATAATATTCATTGGAATAATAATTTTACTTTTTTTCAAGGTACTACAAGAACAAAACCCCCCAACGTCCAGGATAAGATTCGAATATTTTGAAATGGTGCCTCAAGGAAGCTAGAGCCAATAATTTAAAGCCAGATGCCTACATGGGTGGCTTCATTTTAGATGAAATGGGTTGGTAATTTATTATTACTACTGATTTTTATGCAATAATTCTGGTCATTATACATTTTGTGGAACCTGCCCGCCTACAGTACCCCTCCCCTTAGCCAACAGTTTGCCCTAATTGAGAACAAGGTAGTGTTAATGTTGGCTTAGGGGAGGGGTAGGTGGGAAGTTTACCAAAAATGCATAATGATCTGAACACGATGATAACTAGCACTGATAACTATACAAAACATTTTAGTAGACAAGTGAGTGCTGCAAGTCTCAACTAAATAAGGAAATATTAAAAATAATGATTAAAATTATATTTATAATCTCTAAGTCTTTCATTATTTGTCTCATTCAGGAAGACATTGAAATGGTTGTAAAAGATGGTAAACATAAACTTGTTGGGTTTGTGGGGAGATGCATGATGCGTTTGAGAAATTGTCAGGTACTGTAATGATAGAAATAAATAACAATTATCTCATTCTGTTTATAATTGTGTTGTGTCACTGATCAGGAGCACTAACTGACTGCCATAACAGTAGGTCGTACGGTATTAAATTTTTAATTTTTAATAACAGTTAGACTTGAAATTTATGACATTTGATCGTTTGATCTCCAGGTCAAAGCAGGGAACCAAAACTTGCTACTCATGTCCTTCAATTCATATTCTTGAGTGATAGTGGATTCAGATTCCCAATAGCCCAGTTCCTATCACGTTCATGTACAGCTGCAGATCTTTTTCACATTCCCTGGGAAGGGGTTCTCAAAATGTTAGAAACTGGCTTCCATGTGTGTTGGTGCATCCTCGATGGTGCTGATGTCAACAGACAATTTGTAAAACTGCACTTTCAAGGAGAAGATGAAGCCGTAGAAAAAAGATTTACAGCCCAGAACCTGTACACATGCCTTTTGTATTCGTGATGGATTCAAAGGTAAATAACTTAAAGAATGAAACGAAAGGACTGAATCTGACTTCAGCAGTCTTATGCCAAAAATGACCTCACATCAAACGTTCCTATCTTGTGATTACATTAGATAAACTAAATGCATGACTGTGAAGATGCATACAAACCTTCCCTGAAGCTAAATCTTTACTTTATGTATCTAGAGTATACACTTCACATTTGTCATTAATCATATCAACAAAAATTATAAACACTAGAGTGAACAGAAACATCATTCTGAGGGCCCTCAAAAGATTTTTGGGTGTTTGTTTGGTTTTTAAGTTTCATCTAGATAGCACCACTTGATATTAAAGCCCTGAGTACAGCGGCCCTTTTACAACTTGCTTACATGTTCATAATTGTTTTCACAAAATAAAAGATAACAGGTAATTGAGCACAAAAGAAGGAAAAGTGTTAGTATGGTGCCCAACCTTACTGTCTGGGACTAACTGTTCTTTTTTTCTCCTTCAGCACAACTTTAAGAAGATACGTAACAACATTTTGAAGAGTTCAACAGATGAATCCCCAACCCGTTGCCTGACTTTAAGAGGAAAGACGATAACATGGGACCAGTTCTGGAAGGCATTCAGTTATGATCAAGGCGAATTTTCCATGTCCCTCCACCACAAGCTTACAGTGGATCATTTTCAGTTAGACCCTGCATCCAAAATGCGTAATCATCTGGCAGAAGACGTGCTCGATAGGAACATATTGGCCCTCATGAAGGTATTTTTCAGTTCCAAAGGCATGCATTCTGTATTCTGCCAGTCTAAAGTAATCAAAAAAAAGAAAGATTTGTTCATAATTTCCTTAAAAGATTAACCAGCAATACATCTAATTGTATACTTGTAGTTGGTACTAAGCTTTTTTAACTCAATTTACATGTCTGATTGATCTCTACAATTGTCTTTCAAAGTTACAGTAGTATATGATTGTAATAATTTGTTAACTTATTAATATTTAAATGTACTAATGGTTCAATTTTTTTATTGAAATTTTAGGCTTATGAGTCACCTTGTTAGCAAAGGGCAGGATGGCAGCAGCCTTGATTCAACAGTAGATCTACTGGCCCTCACCTCTTGTGCGAGTCAGCTGTTTAATGACCGCCAAAACATCAAAAGCATCTCTGACCATCGTTTGGTAGAACTTCAAGAATTTCTGTCATTCCTAAAGCACTGGAAAGCCGAGGCTGGCAATGAATCTTCAAAGAAATTTTTTACAAGCAAATTATGGTTCGATCTTCAATCGATGATACTTGGTTTTGAGTCAATTGTTGCTATCAAATTAAAGAAATTTCCCCAATCTGTGATTAAACCAGCCATCATCAATCAAGACTGCATTGAAAATCATTTCTGCCAAGTCAGAGCATGTAATGGGCCGAACAATAATCCAACATTTCACTTGCAAGAATCTGCTCAGAATTCAATAAGATATGGACAGACAACCATAAGCAGGAAAAGCAATGCAGGGGCTGCTGGAGTTAGGAAAAGAAAGAACTGACTTTCTCTGTTACAGTGTATGGTTGAACCTCCATTAAGTGGCCATCCTGACATGCAAGGGGCCAGTTGTTCAGAATCAGTTACTGTAAAATTCCAAAAATAAGCCCCTCCAAATATAAGCCCCCCAAATTGGTAACGCAAGAAACCCCCCGTTAAATCGCCCCTCCGAATATAAGCCCCCCGGGGGGCTTGTACTTGAAATTTGCCCTCGAATACAAAGTAAAACAAAGCAAAAATGGTAAATTTTCTTCCCACTACAAGCTAGCCCAATCGATTTTGAAACGCAAATTTCCCTCCGTACATAAGCACCTCCAAAAATAAGCCCCTCAAAAAGGGCCTTTGAAGAATGTAATCCCCGGGGCTTATTTTTGTGGAAAACACGAGTACACACCAAATAGTTCCGAAAATCTTACTAAGTTTAATGTCCACAATCCTTAGTCCTCAATGTAATAACGAAACCGAACAACAAAGTTTTTTCTGCGAACTCGATCAGTCTTTTCTTTTTCGAACCACGAGGTCCGTAAAACTACTACTCAAAACGAGGCTTGATAAACATGACTTCATGTAACAGTCACGAATGTTCAAACGTTCTCAACACCCTCCCCCCATTTAAGTGTTTATCAGCTTAAATGTCAGTCGCCATCTTCAAATTCTTGTGCAGCAATGTCTTTGAACAGCTTATTGGCAATCTCTTTGGTCCTCCTGCTTGACCTCACTCTTGGTATGAACACTTCGGCTTCAGGGTTAAGCTTGTAATCAGGATTCTCTCCTCCAATTTCCAAGTTACACACAAGTTGCAGGGGACGCTTGACAACATATCCATTTCCTTGCCTCAGCTTTAATCCGCGCACCACTCCATCTCTGTCAGTAATCCTACCTACCACTCATCCCAGCTTCCATAGCGCTCTATCCCTAGCTTCACCTTTCAATAACACTACCGCCCCTGTTTCCGGGATTTTTGCATCGTCTGCAGTGGAACTAGATTTCCTTTCTCCAAGGGCGTGTACGTATTCTTTCAAAAACCTCCTTCGAAGCTGCTCCTTGCTTCTTTGCAAGAATTTCATCCTCCTTGACACTTTCTCTTCGCCAATTGCCTCAAGATCTTCCTCCAAGACTGGGGTTGGTTTCCCTCTTAGTAAGGTGTTTGGGGTAAGCACTGGTTGCTCAAACTCCTCTCCCTGATAAAGTAGTGGTCGATTGTTCATACAGTTCTCTATGTCAATCAGGACATCTTCCAGCTCTGGATAGGTCAGAAGGCTTCGTCCGACCGCCTTTGAAAGTGCCCTCTTCATGATACCAATGAGACGCTCAAAGAAACCTCCCCACCATGGGGCTCGGGCTAGGTTGAACTTCCACCTTATATTCAGAGCTCCAATGTAACTTGCAAGATTGTGATCCTTCTTGAGGGTAGACAACCATTTCCCTGTAGCCACAAATGTTTTTCCATTGTCACTTACAAGGGTCTGAGGGCATCCTCGCCTGGCAATAAACTCCTTTAGGGCTCTTTGAAATTCAGCAGAAGAGAGATCACGACAAAGCTTCAGGTGTACTGCGCGGGTGCTGGTACAGGTAAATAATGCAATGTAAGCTTTGGCAGTAACAGATTTCTTCACCCTGTAGTAAACTGGACCAGCAAAGTCCACCCCTGTCACTGCAAAAGGGTCAGACATCTCAACCCTAAAGGTTGGCAGAGCTGCGGTTGTCACATGTGAGGCAGATATAGGTTTCTCCCGGTGGCGCTTGCAAACATTACAATTCTGAATCTTTTTCTTTTTTTGTCAATGACCTCAGTTTAGGAACCCAGAACTTCTCTCGCATGCGGCACATTATTACTGAAACTCCCCCATGCAGCATTTGTTTGTGTACTTGTTGAACAACCAGTGATGTTAGTTCACATTCTCGAGGTAGGAAGATTGGATAATAACCAGGGACTCTGCTAACACATCTCAATATTCCATCTTCATCCCTTTCAAGGTTTACACCTGATTTTGGAGCTCGAACCGCTTGTGCCTGGGTAATCCAGAACCTCTCTGCTGCTTGCAATTCTTCTGTCTTCAGTGGTCCTTTCTGTTTCTCTGTTTCTTTGCAGTTGTTAACAAATCGCTTGACATAAGCAGTCACTCTTAGCAGTTTCCAGTATGATGAATACCTGTGTAGAAGCTCATCCACTATCAGATCCTTCTTTTCTTCTTTGGCGAGCATTTGGTTCTCCAATTTAGGTTTCACAGTCTCTGCTACTGTCTCGGAGGTCTCACACACTTCAGGTTGCGATGGCCACTTGTCTAGACTGCTTAGCCATTTCGGTCCCTCAAACCATAACCTTCCCAACTTTCTAGGCTCAGCACCTCTGCTTCCTTGGTCGCTCGGGTTTTCACTGGTGGGCACATAATGCCATTTCAGGTCTACTTTGTCTTGAATTGCTTGAGTTCTATTACGCACAAACTGAGTCCAAGTTCCTTGACCTTTAATCCAGTAAAGAACAGT